CAACGGATCCTCGGATCTCGTAGACTCCATCGGCAAAAAGAAAACTCCCCCTCCAAAACCATCTCGCAATACTACAAACTTGGTGCCCGTAGATTCAAGATCCCCCCTCCAACACGAAACTGCTGTTCAAAATCTAATTGCCGTCATGTCCCCAATCCTCCCTATTGGCCATCCCTCAATTGCCGATTCCCTTGGTTCCTCAGCCTCAACCTCTCTAGCTCCAGAAACAGCACAGCTTCGTGCTAAAGCTTCCCCCCTCCAGCTACAATTCAAACGAGCCCAAGCGCATCTCACCCCGAAATCAAACCACCCGATTCCGAAACCCCCGTAACCGATCCGTAGCCGCGAAAATCCGGAATAACCGCCCATTTCCTTTCCATTTCCATCTCCTTCTCTCTAGTCCTCCCCCTCCCCTCACGTTCTTGCTTGCTACCGGCTCATTCGGTTTCTGTGGAGTCGCAGTCGACTTTCCCAAATGCCGCCCGGCGTCTTGGGCGGCTCAAAAATCAGTCATTCTCTTCTTTTGTCCGTCCGCCCCCTTCACCGCCATGGGGGGAACAGACGGGAATGAGTCAATATGGGGTCAGTGCCAACGAACGGCCCTACTGTATGTACTTTGCAAAAATTTTCTCATTGCCCCAAAGCATCTTACGCGCATGCAGGTCGCGGGAAAAAAGATGGATTGCATGTTATCGACCTAGTTTCGTAAGTAGCACCGAGTAGAGAAGCAAAAAGCCGCTGTGCTGGCCAAGGGTATGTTATGCGAGCAGAGGTGCCGTACTCGGTACTTGCTGCCAGACGCAATCCTCAGCTCGGCCGCAGAGTACTGTGTACTGCAGATTTAATCGTTAGTCAAAGAATCAATTAATCGCAGAGCTTCACATGGAGAAAAAAACCCCCATGCTGCAGTTATTCCGCCATTCCATCACACATTGGCATGTCATTGGCACACAATCCTTCACGCGGCATAGGCAAATGAGCAAGAAAAAATTTTCATCAAGAATTTATTAATGTTTTTTAGCCAGGCTGTCCGTCTAAAAGACACCTTTTGTTTGGTAATAACCTTTTGTGACATATCTCGTAGAAAACAACACATTGTTTTAGAGAAAAAAAGACCCACGGGAGCTCCTCTTTTTGGCCTCCACTAAGCTTTTTCATCTTTTTGCTGCCTTCTTTTTTTTCGGTCTTCTGTAGACCCGCGCATGGGACTTCTTTTTTTGTCCCCGCTTCATGTCTTCGCTGGAAATAAGAGTAAAAAAAAAAAATTTTTCCCTGACCAAGGTCGCCCCTGGAGACAACGCATCTTCCCGACCCACTAGAATACACTCGGTTGAAACAGCAAAAAAAAAAAATTCGTGAGCCCCTTGAGAGCCACTGAGAACAAATCGAAAGCTCAGGCCATGGTATCATATGAAAAGCAACGCCACGTAAAGTGCGAATGAGTTTTTGTTTTGAAGTGTCTCAACCAGACATTATGAGACCAAAGATGTAACAAGAGAAGAAGAATGTAAAGGAAAAGTAAGGTTATGTCGCTTTAGTCATGACGTAGTTCCGTTTCGCCTGTGCAGCCCATGTTGCTGCCATGATGATGTGAAATCGAAACCCCAAACGCCATATAAATGTGATGTACACGGCCAAAGGCATATATAAAATGATTAAGCCTTGCCTAAAGGTCGTCATGTTCGTCTACCAGCCCTTGGAGTGGTAGCCATTGAATGCCTCCTTGGTGAAGTACTGGTTCCAGCTGCTCGCGTTGACATCCTCGGCCTGCTTCAGGCACGGCCTCTCTGGGTACTGCTTCAGGTTGGCGACATCGTGTGATGTGTGTCGACGCTTGAGGACAGCATTGGCCGTTGACGACTTCTGCTGTCGCTCCCAGAGAAGGTGGCGTCGGAGAGACTCGGTGAGCTCAGTGGCGAGCATGTTGCGGCGGGTTGTTCGTGGAGAGAGAGCAGCTTGGGCATGTACGTGGTTGGCGGTGGCGGCAATGGGCTGGGCGCTGGATCGAGGAATCTCATTGATAGGCTTCAATGTTGTCGACTGGCGCATGCCCTTCATCATAAGAGGGCCATCGTCGGAGTCGTTGGGCGAGGCAGCCAGTGACGATCCGTTCATGAGAGACCGCGACCTGGAGAGAGCAGAGGTGGATTGAGAGGCCTGGTTGCCAAGGCTCACGGCGCGGTCGTTCTGGGCAAGCATCAAGGTGATGAGCGATGGTCGGGAGGTCAGGTTGACCTTGGACTCGACACGCTGGAAGAACTTCTCATCGACGCTGGGCTTTCCGCTCTCGTCGATGGAGTCCTCCCAGTCGGAGGAGTCGTCATCGTCATCAATGGCACTCTCATCAATGTACTCACCCTCGGTGTCGGAGTCAATGGCAGACTCGGCATCGAGGTGGTGAGTGATGTTGTTGGTGCTGAAGGAAGTCTGCTTGGCCGCAGGACCACTGGCGAGTGAGCTCTCCTGGGAGGAGGAGTCGCCAATCTGGAACATGGGCTTCTTGGAAGCCAAGACTGACTTTCGAGTCTCAACGCTCTGGCCGGCGTCACTTGAGGAGCATGAAGCTCCGAGGGCAAACCTGGCAGGTTGCTTCTTTGACTGGACGGGCTTGTGGGCTGGTGATGAGCTGGGCTCGGGGATGCAGTCGTCGATGGAGGCGGTAGGCATGGGGGGAGCTTGGAAGACGGGAATGCCGGAGATGTCCTTGGGAGAAGAGGATTCCATCTCGGCAGATGCTAGTGAGACCTCAGAGGGCTGTTCGGAGAAGCGGGACTCGGTCGTGGTGGATCCAGATCGGGTGATGGACTCGACTGGCTTGCTTAGGGGAGAGGTTTGTGTGGGAGCGGAAAGGGGAGCCTTGTCCTTGACAATGGAGACGACCATCTTCTCAAAGTCGTCGGAGCTGATGTGGCGATCCCGGCGGCTAGCGGAAGAGTCCAGTCGTCGTATCCTGGGGCGGATCTCGAGGGGAGCTGAGACGGAAGTGAATTCGGGAGTGTCCTCGTCCGCGAGGGAGTCGACACTGCCAGAGAGCTGAGGAAGCTCGGGAAGCCGGGCCTCTGAGGGGATGGCTCTGGGGGCAGTCTTGGTAGACTGGACTGTTGATGATCTGTGGGCGTTGTCGATGAGCTGTTCCCGTTGCCAGAGTCTCCAGCTCAGGTTCTCCAATCTGCGGCCTTGTTCAACTGAATCTGCGCAGCGAGAGAAGACTAAACCACAGAGTGTTAGTGTTGGTTCACGGCTGCCTCTTCCCATTCTGATCGCCAAGTCCTTACCTGTCCACATAGAATACAGGTTGGCAGGGTTTCCGGTGTCGACCTTGTGGATGACGTTGGCATCCACTGTTAACACGTGTGTATCTAGGCGGTAGGGCATCGCTGCCGGGTGAAGATGCTCGAGAGTGTCGAGCGTTGGATCCACGATGATGGGTGAGGTTGGGTTGTTGCGGGTGGTGCAAAACAGGTGTCGCTGGTCAAATTGCCCGGTGATCAAGTCTGGACTCTGGCAATTACCAAATATCCAATCGTCTCCGGAAGTGTAGTGCAGTCAATCGACGTTGAGGAATCGACCCGTGGTGAGAGCAAAGGCCGAATGCGTATGGATTATATGGGGTCGTCGATGAGGGGGCGGTGCGGGTGAGTCGAGCGGCGTCGGATTCGGAGAGGTGATTTGGGCTCGAGAGAAGGGAAAGGTGATGGAGTAGAGAATGAGGCCCTTGAAGTATGTTGATGTCGTTGTATGGGTATGCGGAGAATGGAGAATAGAACCAAGAGGTCGTCGAGAAGCTGGGGAACAAGATCTAGTTATTAACAAGTAGGGTGTATCTTTGCTTTGGGCCATGACAGGTTTTAAGAAGAGGTGGATTGGGGGGAGTGAAGACGACGTACCGCCTTCACGCAAGGGCAGGCACCACGCCCCCCCCCCCCCCCCCCCCGGGGGTGTGGAAGTGGGGGGTGGGAGGAGCAATGGAGGGGAGGGGGACGGTACCTTGGCCGTTGTACAGTACAGGTACGGAGGTACGGAGGTACGTACCGCGACCCCGGTTGGGAGCACGGAGGTGCCGCCAGGTGGGCAATTGGGATGAATTTGGCGCTAAGGGTGGGCGTCGCTGTGGGGGCCCTCGCCAGACGAAGAGGAAAAGGACTGATTCCAGGGCAAAAAGCGCTGGCGGCAGGGGTCTCAGCACCAGAGATGCCAGAAGGGGGACGAGGGAAAACCTGTGCGCTGGTTCGGAGAGGTGCCGCCGCCTCCCCGGAGAGATTAGCGCGCACGACCAGTCATACTGGCCTTTCCCCAAAGAGGCATCACTCGCGCCCAGTGGTATTTAAAAGGTGCCCAGACAAGATTAGCGTTTACCTTTACTTCTAGTACAATTCAGGAACTGTCCATCTGCGCCGTTCTCAGCTCTGAAGCCCTGCCATCCCAGCACGACGTTCGGCCCTGTCGCGACGGAGACAATCATGTGACGGTCCCCCTTCGAGAGATCCGTTTTAGCAGAGGAAAGATGCTTTGCCCCAAAGCGTCTGGATATTCCCCTTTTCATACTAGACAAAGCCCGGTCCGACAGCGCTGTGCTTCAACAGGTAGCTATCGGCCAAAGAGGGAGTCTGGAAATTGCAATTCCCGTCACGCGGTGCACTTTTCTTCTTTTTTCCTCCTCTCGCTGCCTCTCAGCGATTTTTCTCGCCCCCGCAAACGGTCCAAGCGCTGCGCTGCGCTGCGTTCGCCATGCGGCCCCGAGAAACGGTTCTAGAGCCTCCGTTTGGCCTCCCTAATTGACGGATGCCGAATCCGTACAAACACCACAGAACAGTTGCAGTTCAGTTGAACAGGGCAGATTTCACTTTTGCTCTTCTGCCCTGGCGGCTTTCGGGTTGGTGGCTGGCTTCCGCGAGATGCGCATTCGGCATTCGGGCGGCTTCAGGCTCAAAGAGTCATGGCACGTTCGCTTGCACAGGCGTGTGACGGACAATTGAGATGGACAGAGGCGAGATTGTCCAATGCTGAGCTCAATTCACGGCTTAACCGCCATTACTTGTGCTGTGCGCATCTTCTCTCAGAAGGGCCCCAAGCTAGGCCATGGAGATGGCATCAATCAAGGGCCAATCCACGGTCGCGCAATTGGACCGACGGCTATTCAAAGGGTCCCCCCCTCTTCGCAGCCGCTCGGCGAATTGAAGAGGTGCTACGAGTGCAAGTACGTACAGCCTACGAGTAGTGCAGGCACTGAGCAGCGTGAAATGAGAGTGAGTGAGTGAGCTGCTGAGCCGCCGTGGATGTGACGTGCCCTGACTGGGGGGCCGGGGGCTCTGACACTGGTCCAGCACACTGGCCAGGTGACCCAGCCCTGTACCGAATCGCTGCTGTCTTTGGTGATCACAAACATCGAGGGCAGGCCGCCAGACAAGGCCTTTGCCTGTTCCCTGCCCTTCCCTCGCCTCTTGGTGAGGAAAAATAAGAAACGGCCCGGATGGAGGCGCTTGGTGCTGATTGACGGCGGCTGAGGCTTGCCGCTGCCCTTCATCTGCTGCGCCTGACCAGCGCAATTGCTCGACGATCATGGGGTAAAGGCGGCCGGACGACGCAGAGCCTCGCAGGCTGCAAACCTCGAGGCCCGGAGGGGTGACATTGAGGCCTTGCTCGCCCAGTCCCTCGGCGCCAGCGCACCAGCGAGTGTCTGCGACAGTCGGGTCACCTGTCCCTCGCCTTCTGGAGGGGGTTTGATATGGACATGGACCGGATCATTGCACTGGTACGGAGTACTGGTATCGTATCAGTCCTCTCCCCTCGGGGGGGAGTGGGAGTGGGAGAGGGAGAGAGCCAAAGCCAATGCTCTGCAGGGTCCTCCCGACCCGCCCCCATTGGGTCACCAGGACACCCGTCCAGAGCAGAAACAAGCTGCAAGCACCCAGAGCTTGCCAACGCATAGCTCTCCGCCGCATGACCTCAAAGACTTTTCCTTGGTCCACGGGCTATTGCTTTTTTTTGTTTTTGCTGCTTCCCATTCATGAAACAGACCAACGAATGCTCACGGGTGCAGCATCCTTTGTGGCTTTTGTGGCCAATGACTTGCCGCAACCGCCCATGTTGGCTGTGTCGCAGGCTCGTACTCCGTACTGATGATTTGCTTTTGCTTTCTTTTCTTTTGTTCTGTGCTATTTATGATGTTGATGTTACGCCACGAAAACTGCCTGTACGTGTGTACCTGCTCGTCTCGTAGTAGGTGCATGGACGAAGGGGAGAGCAGAGGAGCAGAGGGGACGAAAACCACGCAGGCCAATCAACGCCGCCCAAGATGGCATCGCCACAACGTCCAAGCGTTCCCTCTTCAATTGAACCGGACATCAGGAGTCCAAAGGCAGGCAGGCAGCAGCATTATTCTTCTCCTTTTTTTTTTCCCCACGGGGTTATTATAGTAGGGTCTCGTAGTGAGACTTTTTTTCGGTCTTGCTCTCTCAAGAATGCGGAGTATTAGTGGCAAGAGAGTAAGAAGTAAGAGTAACACTCGTACCATTCAAAGAGGCTTCTCGGCCCTCAAGTCACGATGCTAGGCCGCTTTGTAACATTGGCTGGAAATTAGCCCTGGCTGAAAAGCGCCCATGCCTTGGTCGCTATTTTGCCTGTAGCATTACTAGACTTCCCTGCTAAGGCCTAGAACTGCGAGAACTAGCGGTACCAGCATTGCTCCCAAATATTCGGGCCCGCGGAAGCTCCCCGACCTACGAGCAACGATTTAGCTCCTCAGGTCAAGGTCGCGAGAATCCGGGCGTGTGGAAATTGGACAGGACCGGCAACCCGGATCGAGATATTGCAATTAAACAAAAGAAATCAATCAATCGCCGCCTGTCAAAAATTCAAATCTCTTTGCCTTTTACACGGGGGAGGGGCGGGCAATGCAAATCAAGCAGCAAATTTCCTCCGGCTTTTCCTCTCTCTTTTCTTCCTCCGCCCTCCCCGCCTACGGAGCCCTCGTCTGCATTATGCGCGATGAAGCCCGTGCTTTTTTTCTTTTCTTTTTTTTTCCTTCTTCTTCCTTTCCTCTTGTTCCCTGTTTTGGCCCTGCGAGGCTCCGTTTCCTGCACACTTGCGGACCTTGTCAGCGGAAAATGCAGGCAAGCTGAGCCAGAGCCAGAGCCACAACACGCCCAGATGTAACGCCGCGTCTCTCCCCCCCCCCCGTTTTACACGTCTCACCGCTCGGGCTTTTCCCGACCGTTGATGCGTTAACCTTGTTTAATGCTGGTTCCCAAACGAGTGCCGGCATTGCAGTAAGCGTTTTGTTGTTAGCGGCAGCGAGCAATGGCGACACGATTGCCCTGAACGGGGGTCACTGAGGGCCATTTGGGGCAGGATGCCGCTAGATTATCTTCCGACGTGGGAAGAATTTCCCATGAAGAAGAGAGTTGAATGTAACGTGTCCGGCGTCTGGGGTCTAGCGAAACGGTCAAGGCCGCCTTATCGACAAGGCCGGAAACGTGCCTATCAGTTCCATTTCTTTCACAGAGCTCGAGGCCCGCTTTGGAAGAAACCTGGAGCTTTTGTTATCGCCGGTTCATTACCTAACGACAAGATTGCTTGTGTTCCATCTCTCGATTCGACCGCCCAGGTAAGTTGTTGTTCATCCCCGTCGGAGTGGCCCGGGGTGGGGAGCGGGGGGGGGCGGCAAAACGGTTCATGCTGTCTCTCCTTTGCTTGAAAATTAAACTGCTGCAAAACGGTTGATCGAAATAACTGGGATGTAAATGAAAACAAGGCAAATAAAACATGATGAAATAAATTCAAGCGGCAAGTAATTACCTGCACCTGTAAAGAGGCGCAAAAGTTGACTTGTCGCAAACAATAGCTGAATTAACCTGTTTTAAGTCGACGCCTCATTTCTTTTTCTTTTTTTCCTTTTTTTTGTCTTCGTTTTTCTATTGTCCCAAGTAGCATTGAACGCCGCGAGTACGTAAAAACGGCGCATGAATAATAACAACCATGCAAGAAAAAGACCCCCGGCAAGCCCAGCTGCGAGCCCAAAGACACGGCACTGGAAAGCCGGGGGCCACGATGGCATGTTGATGCGGCACGATGTTTCAGCTCCGGTGGCATTGATTTCGTTTCTTTCCTTCTTTTTTCCTCCTTTGATTCCTTGATCCTCAGCTTTCCCCCGCGTCTGGGGATAACGCACGCTCGCCTCGAGAATATGCAACGGGGAGCCCGGGACGTTACGGAGAACCTGGCAGCTTTTGTTGCTAGTCTACGCTTTTATCTCGTTAGGTACTTGTTATAGCTGCGAAATGCAACGGCAACGGATGCCATTGGGTCGTCTATTCTATCCCAAATATTGCGCGATGCAGGGAGGGGCGCCATCCGGGAAGGGGGTTTATTCTTGTCTCCAAACAACTCGCAGCCTTTTTTAGCAAAACAAACGGCGCCCACGGTAGCGGATCGGGATATGCGTGTCTCAAAGGCCAGAGGCGATATTACTGTAGGGCTTGCAGAAGGCAGAGGAGCTTGCAAGGCCCTTGTTCAGCCACTTGAAGCTCCCGTGACTGGCGGCCCTGCCTTGTCAGCCCATCGTGAATTGGTAAATCAACCAATTACCGCCGTTCTGGCAATCCTGACAAAGCAAATTTCCATTTCAGCTCGGGGAAAATTCCCAAAGCCAGCTCGATCTTTCCGGGCTTTCGTATATTGCAGCCAATGAGTAGCTGTAGAAGCGGCCGCAGCAGGTTTTAATAGCCAAAGGCACCGCCTACCTATAGTACTTGAGCGGAAATTGTTTACTCGCCATTTTTTTTTTTTTTTGGCTTCTTTCCCGTCTATTCAAACGGCTTCATTTCCAAAGGGGGCACTCTGCTTTTTCCCGCGTCATGTGTTGTAAAAAGAAAAAAAAAAAAACTCAACCAACCGCGGCCCTGCTTTCTTCTGATCCAGCTGTCAAACCAATAACCTCCGCACACACACAACTTCACTCGGCCCATGAGAGGAAACGACGCCGTTCCCTCCCCACACCCCCCTGCCTTGAGCTTCACTTGTGACAAGAGACCCTCCTGATTCGCTTGATTCCGGCGGGCAGCCGAATCGGGGCAGACAACAAACCAGTGCCCACACACGCTCTGCGAAAATGCGCAACCCGGCAGCCGGTCCGGAGACCCCTAGCGTGGTCCTGCTGTCGCGCCCTAGCGCTTCTTCCCGTTGGGGCCATGAGATCAATGTGAATCAGCAGGAGGAATTTGGGTGTGTGTGTGTGTGTGTGTGAGAGAGAGAGAGAGAGAAGAGTCCCGAGGAGTGTGATGCGATGCCAAGTGCAAACCCCCAAGCGGGCTAGTTTCGCGATGGGAGGAGGTGGTGGTGACGGCTCAAGTGCACCAGCAGGCACAGCTCCTTACAGATGCGAGCGAATGAAGGCGGCCATCACATATTGCATATGGAGAATACTGATGCAAGGCATGATGAATGTTGGCAACCCGTGAGCGGGGCTGCGGACCCTCTGCTGCTCTGTTTACATGTGAAATCCTCCTCGGGACCGTTTTTTTGTTTTCTAAGTCGGCGTATAATTTGGTGTTTTTTCGGCAATGTAATGCGGGAAATCCTCCGTCTCATGTGCCATGCGTGTACTTGGAAGCATGTCAAAGGGCTATCCGCGGCGATGAATAATAAGTCGTAGAATGGTTGCCCTTCCAAGACAAGTTTGGTCCATGCCCCTTGAACCTTGACTGAACAACTGACACCAGCTCCGGTCAGCTAAATTATGCTAAAAACTAGGCGTCCGCACCGATCAGCCGAAAGCCTCAATCACTTTTACTGCGACCCGCCAGATTCCCCCCGTGAGCTGGGCACGATCGCGGGCGGCCCAACCTGGGTCTGTCATATATGATAGAGCGGGCGAGATGATACACCCAATTTACCAAGGGCACACTACCACCACAGCCCCGGCGGATGGCGTGTTTCCTCCTTGCGTGTGCAGAAACAAAAGGCGTATAAGGGAATAAGCAAAAAAAAAAAAAGAAGGAAGGAAGGAAAGAAAGGGAATGCATGTGGCCGCCGGAATCATCTCCCGGCACAGCTTAGGCGCGTGAGGCTGAATCAGGCGGTGATGCAAAGGGAGCTTGTTGCATGTCATGCAATATATTCGAAGGATTGGGCTAGTCAATGCCGCTTCTACGCCGTATATGCAAGCCCGAAGTGCACATGTGTGCTTCGTCACCTTACTGCTAGGTATGAGTTGAGAAAGTTGATTGTTTCCTCGAGAGAAGATGGCCTTTCCTCTTTTGGAAGTATGTTTGTTTCTTTTCTCAGGCTCCCCCTCGAAAGCAAGGGAGTCTTGTATCTCAGAAACGATATCACATATCAGCGTAGCAAAATCAAGAAAAAGAAAAGAGAAAAAAAGGGGGTTGCAGGACGGAGCTCCTGGGGGAAAAAAAAGAAGAAAAAACTCTTTTTCGCCTCAATCTGTTTTGCACAGATTGGTCCCGTGATGTATATTGCTTTTGTCTCGTCTTGTTACCACTTTGTCCCGCGGCTGCGATTCTCAGTCCCGCGGGCCCTGAGCCCGTCTGGCACAGGCATTGCGCTAGCGAATTGGTCTCGGGATTTTCATACCAAACAGTCTCATCGCCGCAGGGTCTCTCGTCAAGAGAAAAAAAAAAGTATAATGGCAACTGAGACAATTGGTTGAATTCTTGCAGGCGTCATGTGATTTACAGCGAGCCCCTTTTGCTTGTTGGGCTTGACGTGGAGGATGGTTTAGATGGCGATCCGGCATGTGTTGGCGGAGAACGGAGAGCTTGCCGGGCCGGAGCATCACAACCGAGCGTGTGTTGGTCGACACACCCTAGACCTGAACAACCAAATAGGTAATTTGTACACGGCGGGCAAGACATCCCTTTGTACTATACTTGAAAGTATGATTTTGTTTTGTTGTTTTTTATTTTATCTGGTAATATGACTCAGTGGTTTGTGGCGCTATTCTGCTCCCTTGACTCCAGTGCGCCAGCTCCCAACCACGTTTGAAATGCTTGCAGCG